CAGTGCTGCAGTGAGGTCCTACCTGTGGGTTGACAGGTGACTCCAACAAACTGGACAGGTCATCAGATATGAACCTCGACCCTGGCTGGGTGCCGACCAACTCCTCCAGCTGAGGCTTAAACAGCTCCCTGATCAGACTCTCAAACTCTGTACACACAGATACATTATCAGTTGTATTTGACACCTCTCTCTGGCTGTTTGTGCTGGTTACTAACACAGTTTGAAGGGAAATAAGGGTCAAATTAACTTCCAGAAAATGTAAATGAAGGATAAAGTTGACTTGAACTACAAGTGATAAAAGTCACAGGTCTATTTGAGGACAAAGACTATGGAGTGCTGCAGAGATGACACATTTTGTAGTCCAACCCAAAAGTTAGCATTGCCCTGGTTCCTTAAACAAGAAGGAACTACTGGATTATTGCAGAAAATAAGGTTTAGGATATTAACACATTTTGTTGGTGATCGCCAAAAGTAAAAAGCTAACGTTAGGCTATAAACGAACATCACTGTCACCACGACTAAACTTCCAACTTGTAATTAAATCTTGTAATTAAAAGCTACAAGTTGTACAAGAGTATAAACACAATGAGTCTACTGGCACAGGTTGGGTATTTACTGATGGGTTTTATGTCAAAGAACAAAACGTGAAAATCTCTTAAATTGTGTTTCAGAAATTTAACTAAAAACACATTCAATAAACACATTGACTTCGTTAGCTAAAAAACTGTAAAGTTACAGTTAAATACAGTATTTCTACTGGAGCATAATGTTAAATTACAGTAATATGGTGGCATAACTGCTGTGAGGTCACAGTTTACAGCTGTCATTTCCAAATTATTAACTGTATGAATTAAGTAACTAGCTGTGAGTACTGCAACTAGTAGCCAGTAATTTACTGTAAATATACAGTCAAATATTAAACAGTTTACTTTCACCTCAGTAAGAGACTGCAAACGATAAAGCAGCTAATCCTCAGCAGTTCAATCATCCAGAATAACAATGTACGACATGAAGGGCAGCTTCAGGGTGAAGAGGCAAAGATCAATAATAAATATGAATAAAAGATTCTGTAGGTTTATTTCAGGGTAAGCAGAGGGAATACAGGACTCAGTGATTTGCTCTCTTACCTGCGAAGGCCACCGTCCCAGCCGGATCAGCTCGTAGTCTGGACCTGATCGCCTGCCGCTGAGCCTCTGAGGGCTTCAGACCGAGCAGATCCAGAGCCTGCACACACACACACACACACACACACACACACACACAGGGATCAATACACACTTTGATCACAGTGGTGACGCCCCTGATACTGACAAACAGCCAGCACACATACTGTCACTGCCCAGTGAAAACCCTGAATCTGCACTTCAGCAGTTAAGACGATTGAGATGAAACATGAAAACTTCTCTGACAACAATAACAATCACTGGACTCAGAGATTCATAGTTTCCAGCAAAAAGACCAGCTGTGGCCCGACTGAGTCCCGACTGTGGCCTGACTGAGCCCCGACTGAGGCCCGACTGTGGCCCGACCGAGCCCCGACCGAGGCCCGACCGAGCCCCGACTGAGCCCCGACCGAGCCCCGACTGTGGCCTGAGGCAGAACCTGGCCTACAAGTCGGCTGGACATTATAGACACACAGTTGTTGAATGATATATTATTTTATCTTTGTTAGAAGATTCAAATCTTTTGGTCCAGTTAAAACTTAAAATAAAAAATTAAATGATTAATTTTCAAAAAACTTTTTTTAATTTTGTGTAGATCTGTAACAGTTCCTTACCCGGCCCTACTATTAATCAAATATCAAAAAAGTTTTAATGAATTTTCTGTTAATAAACGAATCAATTATTAATATTAAAAATAAATCTCACACACACACACATCAATACACACCTGCTCCAACCTCTCCAGTTTGAGGCGACAGCTGGTGCTGAGGGAACATTTCCTCTGCTGAGACTGACTGCTGGCAGCTTCTGGACACACAGAGACACACAAGGATTAGATTTTCAAAATTAAACCCAATTAACAGCGTTCGACCATCTACATCCATCCGTCCCTTTCCCGCCTCCTATCCAGTGACAGAAGGCGAAACGTCCCTCTTCCAAGCAACGTTTTCCATCTCCTCCTGGGGAAGCCCAATGGGTTCCCAGCTCAGAGGAGATATATGATGTCTCTCTTCTGGGTCTACCTCAAAAGTTAAAAACCACCAAGATCTAAACAGTGGATGGTAAACATGTGGCTTCAAACTGGATAACAGCTAACAGACAGACGCTAGAGCTATCAGGTCCCAGGTTATAATATTATGCTAACAGACTGAGGCTAAAGCTAACAGGGTCAGGGTTTTGAAAGATTATTGAGGAAAGGTTACATATTAGAGCTTTAAAGGCAGAGAGGAAATCAACCAAAATCTGGCCCAGTTTTAATCATAGCGTGACATATATAACACGTATCGCACTTTCACATGCTGATATATTCCTCTTGGACTATACTCCCGACGACATGTGCAGAAATGTGTAGGGGGGGGTGTCGACAATTATTTTCAGCTTCATTGCTTTACAACAGATATTGGATCCAGTGCACATTGTCAGATAATGAGAGCACTAAAGAGCGTGCATGTGTCGGCAAAACGCGCAGACAGGCATATCTGTCATATTATACACCTAAAAACAAAATGGTATCTGATGTATCAGCTGTATGTAGGGAGTGCAGATTTTTAACTACTAAGTGATACATCTTCCAAACACACACACATCTCTTTCACAGGAGTCACTAGTATTGCAGGTTGGGATGTCAAAATGACAACAAAGAGACACAAAACTACTTCCAAAGAGACACAAAATGACTAAGAGATGCTGAAAAACTGTCAAATAAGACACACAAAGCTACTACAGAGATAGGCAACATGACCACAAAGACACATAAAATAACCACAAAGAGACAGAAATTGACCACAGAGACAAGAAATGGCTGCAAAGAGATGCTAAGAGACCACAAAGAGACAAAAAGTCACTACAAAGACACGCAAAACAAAGATAAAGAGTCTCAAAATCCAATCCAAATTGTCAAAAAAGATACACAAAGCTACGACAGAGACAACACAACATGGCTACAAAGATACAAAGTCAATACAAAGAGACGAAATAATGACTTTAACCATTACAGGACGGGTGGGGGGGCTTTAACATGTCCGTGCCCAGGGGACCGTTGGTTAACTGGTGTTGGTTCAACTGGAGCGAATGTTAGAAGTTCCCTTTTATTCTGAACATGTGACCGAACCAGCCTGCAGGCGTGACGTCAGACGCCAAACGCCACAAATTGCACATATGGAGAAAGTCCTCAGGATCCCTCGCTCACATAGAGATGTGACGCCGCTTCACACCTCCTCAGCCAATCGTAGGCCAGACCTCCCGCCTGTCTCACTTCCTCCTCCGACAGGCAGCCAACCGCACACCATCTGTCCCTCACGCTGCATCCTACCTCGTCTGTCTCCAGCAGACCAGATTTACACCTTGCAGTCTACAAGCAGCTCATCTGCGCTCACGCGTGTCTGCACATGTTCAAAACCCTGTTGTCCTATTATTGTTAGAATGTATTATATAAAGACACTTCCTGTATAGTTCCTGTGCTCTTCACCTGGCAGAAGACGTTTAAAAAACGACTATGGTCACCAGTGGAAATTGGTTTAAAAGTGACAGTATGGACCTTTAATGTCACTATTTTGACTGTACATGCCACCAGTTGAATTCCCCTTGAAATCAATGGCAGTAGAATCAGTACCATTTTTGTCCACAGGGGCCGCCAGAATCACCACAAAAGGAAAGTTATATAGTTAAAGGTTCAGATTTAACTCTAAAATGTGATCGTAAATGTGTCAGCTGATTGATTATTATTATCACTGTAAATACATTTTCTACATTTTCTTAACATACTGAACATACCGGGGTTAGAGTCAGTGATGCTTTCGCTCTCTGGTGGGGAGGAGACATGTGTCTGCTCTGTTCTGGCTGGAGACACTCGCACCTGCAAATATTAACACAACATATTAATAATGGTTTGATAAGAGCGTGTTCATGTGTCATGATCTGATGTCTGATGTAATGATCCCTCTGTTCACTGCAGAAGGTGCATGTGTGACATAAAGAAGTCACTTCAAATAAATGAATCAATAACATTTTCTGAGGAGTTTATTCAAGTAAACACCTGGCTGACATTGACTGCCGGCAGAGTCTCGCTGGCAGGGTTTCGACTGGAGGTGATCCTGGTGACCACGGCAGGCTGAGGAGGTGTAGCGCCCTGTCCCGAGGGCCTTGTCTGGGGACCGCCTCCACAGCTGGACTGGAGGGAGATGGGGCTGTGAGGCCCGCTGCTGGAGCTGGAGGACGACCTCCGCCGGATAAAGGCAATTTCCACAGTGGGGTCCGGTCTAAAACACACAGGGCACGTTTTGAAACAGTTATAATCTTCATATTAACTGTAATATCTTCTGAGAATATGAGTATTGATAGGTTTAGTTTCCTTTGAATTAAAGAGTTACTTTGGTATTTTTCAACCTTAATAATAATATAATAATAAGACACGCATAAAGTGCTGCACATTATCCTTATGTGCATCGTCAAAGTCTGTCCACTAACAGTAGTTGTTTCTGCTATTGACAAACTCAGATTGTTATTGTCAGTGTTTGACAGCATTATGGAAAGGATCCCTACATAGACCTTTAGTTTAACCACAAACACGTTTTGTTTTACAGAAAGACAAAATTATTGGATTTTGAGGTTTTTTGTTGTTTTTTGGCATACATTGTTAAATAGTGGATCAATATACCCGAGGATGTACATACATGTATGCATGTATGTATGTTTGTATGTTGAGAAATGACTAGATTTTGTTGTAGTCTTATTTTAGAGCCAAACTCCTCTCTTTTTGTTTCTTTTGTATCTTGAATAATTTATGCCTTTGAAACAGTCTCAAGGTATGTTGGACCTGAGTTTGGTGCGTGTCAGGATTCTCCTGGCCTCCTCGTACGTCACTCCGATCAGGGACTCTTTGTTGATGGACACCAGCTGGTCCCCGACCTGCAGCCTGCCATCCTGAAACAGCACGAATATACAGAAATGTTCAGATCCTTGTGCTCAGTGGACCAACTGACCCACTGGGACAAAGGAACATAGTAAATGTTTTTAGGTGACTTTTTAGTTCAACACTTTCTGTTGGTTAGATCACAACAGTTTGGTTTCTTATTATGGCTTATTTAGTAAAAGTGTAGAATCTGCATATTGCATAAGGTATTCTTATGCAATTATTCTTAAATTTAGAATAGAATTTAAAATCCTCCTCCTCACCTATAAAAGCTCTTTATGTCAGGGCCCCTTCATATCTTGAAGAGCTCATAGTACCCCTATTACCCCTCTAGAAAAGCACTCACGTCTCTCTGAATAGGCTGGTGCTAGCTTGCTGTGGTTGCCTATTAGCATCCTCCCCTAAAAAGTAGAACAGGGAGCCAGAGCCTTCAGTTTACCGAAAGCTGCCTCTCCTTGTGTAGGAACCAGCTGTCCCAGCTGCGAGGTGTCGAGGGAAGCGGGCAGACAACCCTGCCTCCACATTTAAGAGTAGGCTTATAGACGTTCGCTCCTTTGATAAGGAGGCTTATAGTTAAGGCTTGGAATTCAAGGTGACGTCCTGAACCATCTCCTTAAGTGTATTCTGGCTGCTATTTAGGCCTAGACTTATCGGGGGATTTCCCATGATTCGCAACTGAGCTCCTCTCCTTCCCTCTCCTCTCTCTTTTCTGCACTCATTGGATCATGGTCCCATTAATTACATAGCCATCGTTACTAAAACTTCACTTCGTTCGAACGGAGTTCTTGCTGGGCTTTCGCTCGTGCCTCACAAGGTTCTCGATGGATCCTGCGGTGGATGCCTCCCTGCGCATTGTCGGTCTGCGCTAGCACTGGCGCGATTGCGTCAATATCACTCGATATTCAGTTGTTATTAATTATTAGTGTTGTGAGTATTGTTTCGCCTTGGCTCGGCTGTCCCCTGGTGGTTTGCTGGCTGTCAGCTCGGTCGTCACCGTCTTTTTCATGATCGTCATCGATCACTTACTGTTGAATGTCAGTTGCTGCTGCTGTTGTTGCTGCTTTAATCTGTTTGTCTCTCTCTTCTCCTCTCTCTCTCTCTCTCTCTCCTCTCTCTCTCTCTCTCTCTCTCTTCTTCTCCCCAACTGCGCTCAAGGCAGAGACACCCACCTAGAGCCGAAGGCGTCGTGTCGAAGGTTTCTGCCTGTTAAAAGGCCCGTTTTCCTTGGGCCGTCGCCAAGTGCTTGCTCATGGTGGGTACTGTTGTGTGCTCTGTAATGTTAAAAGGCGTTCTGCTCTAGACCTGCTCTTATCTTGAAAAGTGCTCCTGGAGGATAACTTCTTCTGTTGATGAACTTGGTGCGTATACAACAGTAAATAATTGACTTGAATTGAAGTTGAGATAAGGTAGAAAGGTAATTGGGTTTCGGATTTAGCTTTGAAAATACATTGGACATTATAACATCCTTAAAGGGATGAAATAAAAGGCATGACTGACTTCAGGCTCGAACAGTCCTTACTGTTATTACTTTGGATTATTCTATGGTGTTGGAGGACAAACTTTGACGATTTAAGTGTGAATACAACAAATGGAACAAACCAAAACAATTTGCGATGAATAAAAATAATTTTAGAAGATGTATTTTTGTCGAAGCTTGAGAAAATGGAGTTTCAGATCTTTACATCTTAAAACAAATTGCTTCAAAAGATGCAAGGTTGCGAGTCTAACATAATCTAGGTGTCATCTGCCGTAATGACGAAACACCAGAGGGTGTGTAGGCGAGACACCGAGCGTTGGGAGAGGGTGCCTCTTCCCCTTGTACTGAAGATAAACTTTTTGGAGATAAACAGCATTTTATGCAACCATAAAAAACGTTTATCAAACTGCAAAGATTTTGCCAACCGATACGTGTGTTTTGCTACAAAGAGTGTGGCAAAGTTGGCTCGAACCAGCGGCCGATTCGACACATTTCACAGCGCCCCGGGGTGTCCCTGTTCCCGACCTTGGGTGTAAACAATCAGCTAGGCCTAGCATGTATTCATGTCATAGACGTGCCAAACACGCATTCGGGGACACTCGTGACTTGCGCCTGTTCCGTGGATCACTGTTGTGCCTCACCATGTGCATTTAATTTTGTTGGTGTTTCCATGACAATTGAGCGCGGAAGAACACGCTGGACCTTGCTGAGCAGTCTCCTCCAGGGGGACTATTTTCCTGATCATTGTCCACCATGTGGCCTTGCGCTGACGTTAGGCTGCGCGCCTTGAGGACGAGCCCGCGCGAGGGCGCGTGTTCCCTTGGCAAGCGCATATCAAGGCTGAATTGACACTGTCAGCTGGTGGTGAGAGGAAAATGTACAGAAGAGTCAGGATGACACTAGCATGATTAAATCCAGCAAACAAGTTCACATTCAATCCCACCATGACATAATCTCTCCTCCTCCCTCCTCCTCCTCCTTTCCTCTCTCCTTATCATCTCTCTCTGGTCTTCCCACACTTCTCTGTGAATTTGCCTGAAGGATGCTTTCAACTTATTTTAGCCATTGCTGTTTCCCATTGCGTGCAAGACGGAATACAGTTTACACACTTTTATGTAGACACCTTTCCAAAAAAGACAAGAAGTTCAGAACTTGTGAACGCGCAGATTCCTTGTTAAATCGGTGATTTCAAACAATACATTACACTGAATGTAAAGAATGTAGAGGTGAGGACTATGGACCAATAAGTAAACTGGTGACAGTCGTTTTGTTCATGTTGGGCAAAAAGGAAATGGTTTTACCGCACTTACTCTGAGCCTCTCCACAAAATGTATAACTGTAGCATCAACTGTGCTAGCACACAGCAGTATCTCAGAAGTACAGGAAAGGAGTTTAAGGGTGACCGATGTTCTGGGACCGGAGGCTTGCTCAACTGTTATTGCGAGCACAGAGCCAAAAGGGGCGGGCTTAGCAACAGCCGTACAATTCAAGATGATAAATACAGATGAATTTACTGTGTAACTGTTACAAAATGGAACGAAGGCCTGCCCGAGCTAGTTGCCGGCAGTCAACTCGAGCTCGGCGGCTGATATAGCACACGACATGCCTTATCCATAATCACTAGACCAAGGCGCACCCTTCCAATCTGGCGCGTCGTATTTAAACTGCAAGAATTTCCCAGCTTCTCCCTTCTGCTGTTTTTTTAATGCCTGCTGTTGCCCCTGCCATCACATCGCTGACCCCTGCTCTGTAGCCCCACCCACCACCCCAGCATCCACCTGTAGGCTCCGACTGGCGGTTAAGGTATTTTGCTCATCACTCCCCAATATTCTCATGTAAACATATCTGCGGGGGGAGTGGATGAGGTGGCAGCCTAACGCCAAAATCTAAATGCTGTCGCCTTAATAAAACATTCACAAAACGGGTGAGTTGCCCTGATCTGAACTTGTATAAATAGAATCAGAGAACAGTTTCAAATTAAAATCGGGATTCATTTTAGACTTCATTTTAAAGCTTTCTACTTCGTAGACTGTGTAAGTAATTTAAAATACATTTCCAGCTAAATCAATGTAGACAAAACTGTTTATTAACTGGACAATAACTCACACACTTCTGAGTGAAACCTGCCTGGCTTCGCATATATGCATCCTCATTTTAGGATTAAGTATGTATCTGTGAGAAAAAGGCTTTGAAATGTGCTACCTTGGAGAGGCGTGCGATGGCGCGTTGCCATGACGTGTAGCCGGGCGTTGGGTGGTGTAGGGGGCGGTGGGGGTGGTATGGTGGTGACCCCCCTCTTTAGGACTGAGGAGCTGGCGGGCTCTCTGATCTGCGAAGAGGAGGGGAGGAAGAGGCTGTGTCGTGTCAGTTCTGTAACAGAGACAAGAGAAAAAGAAGAAGAGGTGGAGACGAAAAAGGTTTTGAGGTGGAGGAGGGGTTGGGCGGATAATGGAGGGGAGACAAAGACAACACAAGTTCAATCGCAGACCTCTACTTCTATTAAATTCCGTAATCAGACGTCTCACTGTAGCATCAAGCTCTATTCTGGGTCTCATTTTAGAACCTTGGAGGAGCGAGGACCATTTCAGAGACTGTTTTGTGCCGGAGGAAACTGCCGACCTTTTTTTTCATTTACGTGAAGTATGGACATTTTGTTGAAAATTGGGTGACATTTTTTTGAAGTAAACAAATTGGGAAACGAAGGCTATGAGGGCATTTTTTGTCGAGATATATTTAAAAAGTAGGGACAGTAGCCTCGGACAGCAAAGCTGCTTTTGGAAGATAAGAACATTTCAGCAAAGTCTTCACTGTGTCCTTAAAGCTGGCCAGTCCGCGGGCTAACTGCTTATAAATAACGTTATCCGGTGGCTGTCCCGCCTGTCTGTCTGTCTGGGCTGTTGTTAGCCTGTTGGAGACCTGGGGAGTCGGAGAGATTCTTCCGTGAAAGCCTGTGCATATTATTTGGAGCCAGCTACTTTTCCATTCGCTCGCACAAACTCCCTCCTGAAGAACACACACGACACGACACGCAACACACAACACACACACACACACACACACACATTTATTTGGATTACATGTTTCTTTGAAAATCAATATTTAAATTGACAACAAAATTTATTAATTTTGGAGAAGACATTAGTATTCAAACACAAGTAAGCACAACGTATAATACACTTATAAAATGGTAAAATTATCGAGTTATCTTATCGGCTGGAAATAAATACCTTATTTCCATATTGTGGATCTCTAACAACAAAAAACAGAAAGAAAATCATTAGATCGTTGAATAGAAGCATCATTCTTTGACTGCCTCATCGGCCGCCTACAAATGCAAACTTTTTGTTGGTCACAATTGTTCCTGATTAAAATGAACTTAATTAAATGTCTTTTTATTTGTACACATCTCTTGTTGAGTTTTTCTTTCTATCTGTAGGAGGAGAAACATCAAAACTGTCAGTAACTCCAGCGTCCGCTGTCGAAGGGACAAGCATACAGGAAATCTTTTCCTTGGCCACATTGCCATCAACACTGTACAACAAGCTAAAAAGCACCTTATATTTTTATTTTTACTTGCCACTACAATGGGTAACAGCTTTATTGGTATACTTTTATACATGGTTTATACATTTTTTCTTTTGCCATTTCTTTATTATTGTTGTGTATAATGTTGCTTCTCCTTACTTATTGTATTGTATTGTTAATTGTTACTGTGTTACTGTGTGTAAATGCTTGCCTTGCTACACTGTAATGTATCTATCTATCTATCTTCTACTATCTGATCTATCTTCTACTCTATCTATCTACTTCATATCTATCGTATCTACTATCTATCTACTCTATAATCAACCAACAATCAATTCAATTGCCTAGTGGCAAGTTCACTGCGCGTCCAGCCTGGGTTAGGGGAGGGCAGTGTACTTCAGGTAGCTTATTAAAAACATGCTAGCCACAGAGGCTTAGTAATGCAAGGGGAGCACACACACAACAAACAATAACATGACAGGTACTGGTAGTAATATGGACTTGTCATCACGGACCTCCACTAAGGTCACGTTCGTAGCCTGACTTTGGGATATCCGCGGTCGCTCATCGACTCTGCGTTTCTGTGCCACTGCGCGGTGTGTGCATTGTCTTCGATCGAATGTCAACTGGACATATTGCATTAAATCTGCATCTCTGCCTTCGCTTTCTTTCCTCCACAACTGATCTGAGAAATCCAACAAGGCTGACACAGCAGGGTTTCCAAGCTGCTGACAAAACTGACCTCCTGCTCACTGTCTGGCTGCCTGTGTGTGATGTATTATTCTGACAGTGTCTGGGTTTTTTGTGCTGACAGCAGGCAGATCTGTGAGTGTTTGTCTCCCTCACATGGACGTACTGCTCGCTCACACCGTCACTGTCTGATGTGGATGTGAAAGCACCGCTCACTGAGACAAAGCATTCAGAGATCAGAGGTCACAGACACCGGTCACCTGTCGGCACACAGGCTGCGTTCCAATAGTGTTTGTTGCTCAGGAAGGTTCCTGACTGAGTGAAATGATGAGAGCTGTAGCAGAGGATACACTGGAGCTTCCTTTACCTTTTACTTACTGCAGCAACATTTAAAGCAACGTACCATTTTAGTTTCACCACAACCGTTTTTGACTCTATCCAGAGCCATAAATATAGATTTATTCCATTGAGCTGAAATATAAATTTAGACTAGTTTAAAAGTAAGAAAATCCTCAGGACTTTCCCTAATCAATACCCGATGGAATACAGAGATTCATAACACTCTCAATATAATATATAAAATAATTCTACAATTCTGTCAATATTGTATTTCAACTGCTTGAATCTTGTTTTACAAGATTTTTATTGCTAATTATTAATCTCAGATTAAGTACAATTTTTTTAATTCAGCTCAATAAAGTGACCAAAATCCTTATTTTATTTATCTTAAATAACTAACTTTTCATTGCTTGTAATAAACACAACTTACATTTTTGTCATTTTTTAAGTTTTAAGGTCTTTTACAGTCTTTCAGTGGATAGATTTCTATGAAAAGAAAAGAATATTAACCAAGCTGTTTTAATGGCAAATTTGTTTTGCTCCATACAAGAAGATTTGATTATATTTAAGAATATTTGAACTGTTTCTAGAAGGACTAAAGTGGTTGAACTGAAGCCAATTAATAGTTTTTGTCATTTTGATGAAATTAAGACATAAAACAGGCTCCCAAAAAGTGACATTTATAACCTGAGAACACCCGGACTGTTTCTGTCTGTACAGCAGCTTAAAAATGACATAAACCTCCAGAAATCCAAGTCTCGATCCGCTTCAGCGTCCTGAACTGACAAAACTCCATCAATGAGCTTATAGACTACGTTTGTTTTTCTGTTTTTATCCACTGAACCTGTGAGGACACCGGGACCAAATCCCCACTGCATGATTTCATCACGGTGTCCTCGCCGCGAACCGCTCAGAGGCAGCTGCACGCAATCATAATTTAAGTGTAAAACAAATCGCTTTGAGGTGAATACCTGACGTGTCGGCACAAAGCCGCTCACACACACACACACATACACACACAGATTTCACTGCTGCTTTGGTTTCGTAATAAGGATGAAAATGAAAGGACTCCTCTCTCTGCCAGAGGTGGGACGACCTTTCTTCTGCAGTCACAACAACACAGTTGGCTCCTATCAACTGCTGCAGGCTGCAAACTTATTCAGCAGGTCGCACCTCAAATAACCTTCTGTTCCACACTGAATCACATCTGCTCATTTCCTCCATTTTCCTCCAAACAATCTCATCAACATTTGTGGTCAGTGGTCAACTGATTTTTGTTGTAAATGAGAAAACTCATTTCCGGACTACCATTCATAAACGGAGGAACAAAATATAGAAATTTATAATTTTTTGTGTCCTGAAAATAAAAACAGAAAATTAAAATAGAACCCGTTTTGCGTTTTTTTGTTTGAAAATAAAAATTCCTTATTTGGTCCAAGAGGCTTTTTTGTCTATCTGGATATGATACAATTGTCTAATAATTTCTGTATGTCTTTGTCCTTAAATTGTTGTAGTAACAAATGTACAAATATGTTTTTCCACACCATGGATACACAGTTTGACAAAACCAGCATTTTTGTCTTGAAAATAAAAACAACCTGTTCTCTGCTTTTTGTTCCCCTATTTATAAATTGTAGTCGGGGAACAGCTAGTTCAGAAATCTGTTGGCCACAAAGTACGCTGACCATTTGTCTTGCCAACTTTTACCAATAAAGATCGACTGCACATACAGACACAGCAGCGAGTAGCTCATCAAACGTACTACATTTTTATTTTAAAGGTCCAGTGTGTAGGATTGATTGGCATCTTGCGGTGTAGTTGCAGATTGCAACTCTGTTGCTTCACCTTCCCCTTGCAAGCCTGAAGGAGAAGCTACGGTGGCCACACAGAAAACGACTGCGTCCTGCAAAAGTGCAACCCGGAAACGAGCCTGCTTTCTTGTTTCTGCTGATCTCTGTGTTGCTTTGCATCTCTGATCAGCTAGACTCTTTTTTACTGCGTAGAAACCCCACGGACAGACAGCAGAGCGTCCTTATTGTGTCGCTGTGAGTTTGTCTTGACATGGCAGGCTGACGTGGAAAAGCACCGGGGACAGCAGAGTGCCAGGTCAGTTTACCTCCTGCTGGTGAACCGCAGGATGCTGCCTGTCAGACACACACGTTCCTTTCAGAGTCTGAACCAAGGGCGGATCGAAATACTCACACGGTTCATTTGGATAGGTTGTGGTAATAGGACCTGCGTCTGGGGGTGTCGCAGAATCATCACATTGGGGATCCATGATGATTCCTAGGAAAACATCTTTATGAAGAACCGCTTATCTCACTTTTAATTGGTTTCAGTCCATGTGAGCAGTTATATGAAGGAGCTTTATTACAACAGTTTCATATATTTATACGGATGTTGGATAATTTATCCATCAACCGGCGATGGAGCCAATCGCCCAACCATAACCTAGTTGGTAGGAAAATAAGAAATAACGACCTATTCAAGTCCACAAAGAAATTAATGAAGTGAAAAATGGCTGACATCCTGCTTCCACTAGGTGGCACTATGACTTTTGCTGAATTTTTCCATGTAGATGGGACAAATGTGAAGTTTTGGGAAGATTGAAGAATGTTCAGTCAACTTGATAAAAGACGCCGCACAACGTACAGGCCATTTGATGAAAACTCAAGCTTTTGATACATTTTCATTAGGAACATCTTAAGTAGGTACTGACCAAATTTGAAGTCGATCTATTGAATTACTTCAGAGGAGTTTGTTAAAATATAAAGCCTGGAAATGGCAAAAATGCCGCCAAAATGTATCATTAAATTCAAAATTGCCAAGATGTCTCATCTCAACTCTCTCATCTCATCTTCATCCGCTTATCCGGGATCGGGTCGCGGGGGTAGCAAGTCCAGCAGAGGACCCCAACCTTCCCTTTCCCCGGCCACATCGGCCAACTCTGACTGTGTTCCCAGGCCAGTGTTGAGACATGATCTCTCCACCTGGTCCTCGGTCTGCCCCGTGGCCTCTTGAAACATTGTAGTTACAAATGTGATTTTCCACACCACGTATATGCAGTTTGATGAAACCAAAAGTTTTGATAATCTTTCATCCTAAATGTCAGACAGTACTGATCGAATGTGAACTCTTTAGGAGGAGTGTGTTAAAATACAATACGTGGAAATGGTACAAATGGCGTCAAAATGTATTAATCATTGTTGGGTTTGGGTCCAAGAGGCTTTTTTTGTACATCTGGATATGATACATATGCCTACCAATTTTCATCCGTGTAGGCGAAACCCTCGTGCTGGCGCTGCTCTTTTTTCAACAAAACTGCGATTCTTTTGGCAGAAAAATAATAATTCCTTCAGTTACGATAGCAGTCACTTCTCAGCCCAAATAAAATTACCAAGGGAATACCGGTTGTTCTTGGACCACTGAAGGCACTAATGGTATTTCATGACTCTAAGGACCTTCAACTTCGACGCTGACCTTGAAGGTGAACTTAAACACCATAATGTTCTTACTGAATTAGGACTAATTTTAGATAAATCAAAATCAAATCACATCAGCACTCCTGTGCAGATCTTGATCATAAGGTGTGTCGGTTAATCTCAGGACTAGACAACGTGCCGGGGAAGGAAAGTCAGAGTACAGGTGATTACATTACAGTTGTTACCTGGATTCCTCATCTCTGGCGATCAGCAGGGACATGTGATTAGAGAGCGAGGCTGTCCTCAAGATCTCCACCGCCCTGTCAGGAAACAGCAGGTGTGCAGATCAACATTCAGAAACATAACAAATGCAGATAATACTTAATGAATGGATTAATGAGTGTGTGCATCATGTTCCTTTTAATAAAACATTTGCTAATTAGCACAAAACACAAAATCAACTGAGGCAGATGGGAATGTTATTACTTTTGCAGGTATTTGGTCACATTAGATTAAATCACCAAACCCACATGAAACCTCTGACATTCTGATGAGTCCTAAAACCACTGACAGTAAATATAATCCGGGTCTGTGAAGTAAAGCCAACACAATGACTATTTCTCTCCTTAAATCTGTTCACAAACATATTTTACTGTTTATCTGGAATACCAGATCGTGTGTGACCAGGCGAGCCTCCATTGTTTCCAAACCAAGAACAGCCAATGAGAGCAGCTCAACTCGCAGTACCTCGCCGTCACTGGTTCCGACGACCATAACTGGAGGCTTCAAAACGGTTCTCCACAAAACCAATGGGTAACGTCACGATAGGTTCACACCAGTAATGTGTTAGCATTTTAGCTCCTCTGGTTTCCTCTCCTCAAAGTGAACAGGTTTTTGTTTAGATGCCTGAAATAAGGTCTGTGTTTTGGGATTTTCACGTTTTGTTCTACGACATAAAATCCATCAGTAAATACTCCACCTGTGAATGTTAAAGCTTTTACGTGTCTGTTAGCGGCTGCTAACAAGTGTCTAAATGAGACTACAGAGGTTGTCGGTGACATTAAAACACGGAGACTGATCTACTAACTAGTCCGTCTTTACAGCCTTGTTGTGTTTATACAAACTTCACAACTTGCATATTTTAATAATGAGATTTAATTACAAGTTGGTAGTTTAGCGGTGGTGACGTTGAAGTCATGCTACAGTGTTGTTGTTTATATCCTAACGTTAGCTGGTTGTCACATTTTCACTTAAAAAAACCTTTAAAGTGGTGTTAATTTGTGAAGATTATCATAAACTATTGTTCACCACAGATCAGTACAGTAAAATACCATTAGCTTTTTGTCCTACAATGCTAACTTCCTGATTCGACTACAAAAATACATCACTGCAGCACTCTATAGAGGGAAACTCTCAAACCTGTCCATCTAATCTATTTTTTGTGGGACCAGTTGCACAAAACACCTTAAGTATGACACTTAAGGCATAATTTCTCCGTAGCTGAGGGACTTAATTAAGGGTGTTGCACAGAACCCTAAAAAGAATTTACTCCATTGAAAGAGATTTCACAGCAGTTAAACTATGTTATAGCCTAACTAGTTAACGAAGCAGGCTTATTGACATAACCAGCTCTGTCGTTTGGACTGTAACCTTATATGGTATAAAGGTCATTTTATCATCATTTATTGAAAGATTATTGATTAATTCTATACATAATGTACATTTTCTTTACTTAGATAGGTTCATATACAGTCAGAGTTTATGTCCTGGTTGCTGGTTTTCTGAGTCTGCATCAAAACAGCTCTCTGCTTCCTGTTTCATGGGGACTTCAATTAACTTAAGGAATTCCTTAAGAATAAGACCAATATAAAGAGAAAATCTGAAATCCTGTACATCTTAAGGACAATACTTAATGGTAAGCAAGTGCAAGTGATTTTATTTTAAGATATTTAACTCAACTCACTAAAATATTTGCTTAAGTTTTTATGTCCAACCGGCCACAGTCTACTAACATGGCAAAAAATACCTCTTACCTTAAAATACCTCTGCAACACACACACACACACACACACACACTGATAAACTGCAGACACAGCACAGACGTCAATCTCACCTCTCATTGGTCACTCCTATCAGACTGATGTTATTGACATCCAAAATCAGGTCACCTGACTTAAGCCGACCTGGAACAGAAAGTGAAAATCAGACAGACAGACAGATCTGGCTAGGGAGGATATTAATAATAATAGAAATAATAATGATAAAAACAAAAATAACAATAACTGTGTGTTTCTTTCAACATTCCAAACGAAATACCAAAAGACTACCTACCGTCCTGAGATGCCAACCCACCGCCTACCACCCGCTTGATGTAGATGCCGAACTCTTCCCCTGTCAGCTCTCGGTAACCTCCAATTATCTTCACACCTGTGCGCACACACAGGTTAGCAGCAGTTTAGAGACAAGTAAGAGTGTAATAATGATTCAGAGGTCAGACAGGTCAGGAGGAAGATGCTCACCGAGTCCCTTTTTGCAGTCGCAGAACTCCAGCCTCTGTACGGCTCGGTTGATGCCGTGCGGGCCCATGATCGTCCTGGCAACAAGCAAAAACGCAACGGATTCACAAACATATCAACATCCTGCCTCATCCAAAGCCCCCCTCTCTCTCTCTCTTCAGTGCTCTGCTGCACAAAATAATCAAATCATCACAGGATTTTGTCATTTTCTCCTCACTCCCTTCCTCCCTCCTCCACCCGGCCACATCCTAACCAATAAAATCTGTCGCCTCCTAAACGGCACAACGGCCGACCTGGATGTGAGGAAGCCCCAACAGACACAAACGGTGATTAGAGACAATCAAAGGAACATTACAAAGCAGTTATTATACCCTCGACAGCCTCAGTGTGTGTGTGTGTGTGTGTGTGTGTGTGTGTAGAGAGATTTGTGGGTGAGAAGGTTCAGATTAAAGCTGAAGAGATTCCTCAGACGTTGTTAACATGGTCCTGCTGTCTGCTGGTCCCGTCCCGAGGCTCAGCTCACCGTCAGAGCAGAGTCGGAGTGAGACGAGTGCATTTGAAATGCTTTCGTGTGTGTTTGTGTGTGTGTCAAAATGTTTGTGTAGAGACATCTATTGTCGGGGACAGACTGACTTCACAGGGCCGGCCCCAAGAGCTTTAACATTACCCCTGAGCAAAACAGTTGTATGCAAAAGTTATATGTATAACATATTTTGGTTCACACATGAATGTTTTGGAAAATTTATTAATTGCTATTTCTTTTCTAATGTATCTACGCTAAAATAAGACAATTTTATGATTTTCTAAGTTTATATTTTCTCAGTTTATAGACTGTACCTCTTGACAACTTTTAAAACATGATTTTTAATAATTAGCAACTCTCTTTCTTGTTTTGTATAAAAAGATTTAAAAAAGGTTAAATACAACAATTATTTGTTGTTTTGGTGCCCCTTTATATAACTGTATGTAATTTCAGCTGAACCACTGTGTGTGTGTGTGGTGTGAAGAGAGAGAGAGGAGAGAGAGAGAGCAGAGAGGAGAGAGAGAGAGAGCGTGGTAAACACTGGTGAATTAATCAATAACACACATTTTAGACTAAAATAAAGAGTAATCAATATTTCACACCTTTATATAATTGATTTTCTGTAGAGTATTGGCACATACATACACAGTGTACATCTGTGTATTATTATCTGTCTTGTATCCTTATATGAACAATGTATCCTCCAGGATACAGACATTTAATGTCTAATTATCAAAGTTGTGAAAATGTAATTAATTATTTTTAAACAAAAGTATAATATCATCCTTAACAAACAATATTGTCTCAAACAATCACTTCATGACCTTCCCACAGCCTCTAAAATGACTGTATCCCCCAGCATACAGAAACCATTTCAGGACCATAAAGCACAATATTGTCAGCAGTGTGTAACATTGAGTGGACAAACAGACACTGGTTCTAGGCAATGCCAGAATTGGACCAAAATAGGTGCCAGTACCCTAATTCAGCAAAACCCTGAACATAATTATTTTGGCTTTTTTTGGCCTTTTTAAAAAGTTAATTTTCCGTGCTGTTTTCTTAGCGTTAGTCTAACTATGTGTTTAGTACAGTGGCCGACAAGGGCAAACGTGCCGCAAACGGCAAGATGCTTCAAACACGGGAATGATGCAAATCCAAAAACACACAAACACATAAAACAAATCCAACAGAAAAATGCATGCAATCACAGAAACCGAAAGCAGAAGCACAAACTTACAAACCCACAAAACTGGCCAAAGAAAAATGCTGCAAATTCAGTAGACAAAAAGCGGAAGTGCGCCAGACCACTAGGGGGACCCACCTGAGGGATGGAACCAGTCCTGTGGGACCAGACCCAAAAGACATGAGGAAGAAGAAGAAGGAGAAGAAGAAGAAGTAGGCTAAGTTTTGGAGTTTATGTCTTTTTTGAACTCTTGGCCCTAATCTTTTATAAT